GGAGTGACGTGCAGCATGATGGCTTGGAGGTTATGCGGCAAAATTGTGGGTGCTGCAAACACACCAGGTAGCCCCTAAGCAAGCCACTTTCTCTGAATCACACTCCTTATGGGGCAGAAATTCTAACCTAGCATGAAGCGTGTTGTACAAAATTACCAATAATATATTTGAAGCATTTTGAATTACTAAATCAAATCACTGATTAAATTGCTTCCTGCCATCTGCCCATCTGTCTTTGTGATAATGCTGCAAGCTGCAGGACACTTATGTATAAATTACTGAATGGCAAAGAGTCCCAGATAAACACATGAGTTGCCAAGTCACCTGTTACACAGAAAACCCCTTGGATCAGTAGCTGGGCTGACATGAGGGAAGAATCCATTACATTCTCTAGAAAGAACCAAATCCATGTTTGTTACCCCACAAAAGGGAACAGTACCATTGTTGTTCTGTATCTCTGTCAAAGTAGTTCCTCACTATCTAGGGTGAAGTATCCTTCCTTCTTCCTTTGAAATGAGTTAAGGGTAACTGATAGGGAGCTGGTGAAATCTGCAAGTGGAATTTAAATTTGCAGTTGCAGAAGATCAGCCTAATGAAGGCGGGTGGCTGCGCACAGATGGTTCCTGTGGTAGTCCAAATAAAACACATGAAATTAATGCATCTAGTGGGAGTAAATGTAATTTTTGAGCTGGGGGGGGCGGGTTAATTAAATCCCATTACAATCACAAAGTCAAGCGTTACAGATGGTTGTTCCTTTCCCTCTTTCCTTGTGCTGACATTAATCCACAACAGTGACCTGGTTCTCACATAAGAGTGACTCGTAGTTTAGCCTGTGGGTTGTTGAATTTTGGGTTGTTGTGATATGTAAATGCAGTCCCATTAAAAAAAAACCCAGAAAGAAAGCCCATGCTCTCTCTCTGATCTCTGGGTTGATTAGACCGTGATTAATTGCTATAGGCAAAACCAAAACTGTGGGTGGTTCTGGCAGACTATAGAGGTGGTGGGCAACAGTGTTTCAAACAAACCAACAAGCCAGTATTCCAGGGCTGCAAAGGGCATTTGGGAAACAGAAGGAGAGGACAAAAGAAGAGGTTAAAAACAATCCAAAGAACGAAAAAAAAGGGTGGGTTTGATGTGCTCTGTGCCTTGTGAGTATTGTACCCCAAAGGTGGGGGCATAACTATATTGCATAAGTAAATTATTATTACATTTTATTGATATTCCTTCTTTCTTCTTGCTAGGAACCCAAGGTGGCTTCCAAAGGTTCTCTTCTGCATTTTATGGCTCTGTGAGGGAGGTTAGGTTGAGAGTCTATGACTGGCCCAAAGCCATCAGTGAGCTTCATGGTTGAGTGGGGAACCCAGAACTCCTGAGTCCCTGCCAACATTCTTTTCTGTGCCACACTGGCAGTATAATTAAAACGAATAATGGGGAAAGCACGTGTTTGCATGCAGGAGGTGCTGACGTCAGTCCCTGGCATCCCAAAGTAGAGCTGGAAAAACTCTCCCTGAAACCAAGGAGAGCCACTGCTGCCAGTCAGTGTGGCCAGTACTGGGCTAGATGGACCCGTGGGCTGATTCAGTATAACCTGCTTCCTGTATGCCCTAAATTGCAATCGGGCTATTAAAAGAAAGCTAGACTGTGCAAACCATACAGCTGCATGCATATTGGACAAATTGGCATAATTCTGCCAAACAGTCTTACTAGCATAATTTTGAATTTTGTTAGTCACTGGGAATGACATAGAGCTCTGCAGGGCACTGAAATCCAGCTACTGGAAATCTTCATTGGCAGACTCCTTAGATTGTCCTTATTTTTCCACATGTAGTATAACTGTCACCCCCACAACTCTGAGCAGTAAGAAGCTTCAGGAGCACAACACTTAGGCACATTTGGTTTCCCTTGGCAGGAAATGACTAGAGACTTACTAGCATTTGGAATAATGTTAGTGCTTTTCAAATGCATAGTTTGTGTATGGGTCAGGGCACAACTTGAATCAGCCTTCCCCAAACTGACACCATCTAGCTCTATTGCACTGGCTGCCTGTTCCATTCCTAGCCAAATTCAAGGTTTTGACTATGACATACAAAGCCCTAAACGGCTTGTGACCACATTAAGGGAGCACCTTGCTCCTCATATTCCTGCCCATTGTCTCCGAACTTCAACTGGAGCCTTCCTATGAGTTCCCTTCCCCAGGGAGGTTAAGGGAGAGGCTGCAAGGTGGAGGGCCTTTGCTATGGTGGCACTCCAGTTATGGAACATTCTGCTGCCAGAGATTCATCAAGTGCTTCCTTTGCTCAGCTTCAGGTGCCTGCCAAAAACTTTTCAGGCACACCTGTGTCATTTTTGAAATGCGTATTGTTTCGGGTTGCCATCTTTGTGATCTGTGGGCACTTTTTTTTAACCAAGGGCATAACTCATTAATAGAAGCTTTGTAACAGTTCTCTCTCTTCGCCCCCCAAAATAGTTTGGTGTGGGAATGCTGGCTGGTATGCAAAGTTCTGTTTGGAAGGACCTCTGTGACATTCCTTCACTTCATAGTTCCTTTCCAAGAATTTATTCAAACTTGTTTCTTTCAATTAAAAAAAAATCTGTCTGCAGACAAAATTGAGTGTATCTTTTGTTAGGATAATCACTGGTATGTCTAGTCGATGGAACATTTCAGATGTGAATTTTTCAATCTTTTCTCTTCTGCTGTGCTTCTGTTCCACACGGTGATTTAACAGCTGTTTTATAAAAGATGTACATCACTTACTCTCTTATTTAGTGAGATCACTTTATGACTCAGGTGAACGTGTGAGCTACTGCCAGCAAAATGTATTGCGGTGTTTTGGCAATACAAAGCTGCCTGTAAGTGCCTGATTATAATCGCTGTTTTACACATGCAAGTCTTCTCTTGATAGTGCATTGAAAATGAGTGTGTGAACCTGCTCTTACTCATATCTAACCCAATTAGAAGAGGCGTTCTGGTTGCACGCATTTTGTCAAAATATGTAGCGAATGGGTTACATCCAAAATTTGTCCTATCAACACTAGATCTGAGAACCCACATGACTTCCTTTCCCCCCTGCCCCAACCACCCAAATGCTTTAGTCATCTTTTTTTAATGAGAAAATATGTTTTTTTCACAAAGAGATAGCTGCAAGAACAAGTGGTGAGCAATGCTTGGTATCTCAGTATCTCCATGGTGGTTGTTATCCTTCCCTTAGGGCATCTTGTGGCATTCCAGAAGTTTTGGCCCATAGTTCCCATCAGGCTTAGCTGGCCTAGCCAGTGGCTGCAAGCCACATCAGAAGGCAACAAGTTGCCCACCCCCATGTTATAGGTACAGCCTACACTGTCTCAAAGCATTCCAGTGCTGACATCCATATAGTTCATGGGAATAGCTAAGTCTTTTTTTCTGATAGCTTACCTGCAGGGCTGTCCGTTGACATATTGGAATGAACTACTGGTTCTTTGCTCTAGGACAGTGGTGGCAAACCTATGGCACACGTGCCGCAGTAGGCACACAGAGCCCCCTCTGTCGACATGTGAGCCAAGTCGCCCCAGCATCACCCCAGCAGCCAAGCATTGGATAACAGTGCACATAGAGGCCGTGCGCATGCCCGGAAAGGAGTAGCGGCACCAGATGAAGGCATCACGAGCTGTGACTCATTAGCCACGACTCATCCGAGCTTTCGTATGGCTGGTCAGTGTGCTGCCAATGAGATTTGCTTGAACTGGCTGTGAGTTTTAATACATTCATTTTTATTAACACAAGATTTTAGCTTTGAGTTTTCTTATGAAAAATTGAAATTTAATACCTAAGATTTAGCAAAGAGATGCTCTAATTAAGAGACTGAGATTCTTTTAATGTGCTGTCCTCCTGGCATATTTGAATCTGCACCATCATATTTAGTTATTTTTTCTGAACTGAAACCTCAGCATTCAGGTTTTATTGCAGTGTTGGCTCTTTGCGATACGTAAGTGGGTTTTGGGTTGCAGTTTGGACACTCGGTCTCTAAAAGGTTCGCCATCACTGCTCTAGGAGCTTAAAGGGGCCAGAAGTGGCATTCTGACATAATGTTAAGGCAGTCTCCCCACCTTGGTGCTGAGGAGATGAGACTCCCATCACCCCAAGTAAGGGTATCCCCAAGCAGCATTTCTTTCAGCTTGCTGATTTGCTTCAGTGAGCAAGAGAAGAAAGTAGCTCGGAAGTATTATTGGAGCAATCCTATCTATGTGTGTGTGTGGACATGGCTGGCCGGGGCATGATGGGACCTGTAGGACATCTTTCCTGTCTCAGCAGTCCTAGGGTTGAACTTTGTAAAAAATTAAGTGCATTAACTTGGACAATAGACAAAGTGGTGGTGTCTGTCAGCTCTGTAACTATGTCGGGTATCTAGATTACGATGTTTCCACATGACTCGAGGCGACGCATGCACATGGAAAGAGCACTCTTGTGGCTCTCGCACAGAGTGCAAAAGAGCAGAAGAGTAGAGAGAGTGACTTGAAATGTGTCAGAAGTCTTTGAGCAATAGCTGTTCGTTGATTTCACTGGAAAGTTAGTGGCCTTAGTCCAACAAGCTGTTTATGCTTTCATAACCAACTTAAAACAAATATTAAACCAGGGGTCTGCAACCTTTTGCGGAACTGCAGAGGGCACCACGGCAGAATCATTTCCATGGAGCCTGTGACTAGTCCCATAATGACTGCCATAAAGGTCTGGCTTGTTGAAACGCCAAAGAGGTGACTGTGTGGGGAGGAGGGGAGGAAAATAACAAGGCTCGAGACTGGGAGGGAGGGGGAAATAGCAATGCAGAGGCATAGAAGAAAGAGAGAGTGTGATGCTGCAGGCTCTAAGTTGAGAAACAGTAAATAAGGGGGCAAGTGGGAGAAAAGGAACAATGCTGGGGTCTAGAGGAGAGGGAGAGGAGGAGGCTGGGAATGGGGAGGGGGAGAAATAGGAAGGCCACAGGCTGGGGGTGGCGGTGGGGGCAAGCGGGAGAGAGAGAAAGCAAAGGAAACATACTTGTGTCTGCAAGGGGCACTTTTCATAGTAGGACTTGGTGGCTTCGTGGCAACTTAAGTGGACGTTGCATATTTGAAACATAGATACTAAATGGAGATTACTTTTTTCTTTTCTCAGATTTGGATATTCTTGGAAGACTCAATGTCTCTCAGCACTAGGTTTCTCTGGGAGAATAGGAATGCCTAATCTAATTCCTGGGATTCTGTCAGTTATAGCAGAGGATTGTAGGGCACTCTTCTCATGTATAAAGAACTTGTAATAAGGATGGGGATAATAATGTTGATGTTATGTCTGTCTCCTCCTAGGAAACTGCTTGCTGGAAATAAGTGACTGAAGGCCAACAAACCTGAAAGACTTGAAAGAAGAAATCTAGTTTCTACACGATCAAATCTGAATTAAATGGCTGATAAACAGATCAGGTAAATGTTATTTTTGGCTCTTCTGCTGTCTTGTAGCACATACCCTTTCTTCATTCATGGTGTCTTATCAGAATCCTGAAGTGCACTTTCCTTCTCTGTCTCTTCACCTTTAGTCCTTTCTTCCTCACCTTTGTTACTCTTGTGGTTAGAACATTTGGGGTTAACTCAGACATGAAGGTGCTGACGTGCTGTGGTCATTCCGTAGGACAGCAAAGCTTCCACTTTGATGTACGTGGGGTGTGCCATATGTTTGAGAGCACACTGCCATAGACATGTACTCCTTTGCTTAATTACTCAGCTCACATATCATGGTAGCAAATCATGGGCTATTAACCCACCATTTGTGAGGACAGGAGTCACCTGCAAGCTACTTTTGGTTTCCGTAAGGAACCTTTGTTCAGAGGTTCTGAGTGTGACACGAGGGCCTGGACTGTTGGGTTGTTTAGGCGCTAAACCCAGTGGGCCACTTGGAGGTTGATTACAGAAACCAGAAGCAGCTTGCGATTCATGCATTTATTAACTAACTCACACTTTTCTGCCATGAACTGCCTTTCTGTGTGTTTGAGGAAAGTGTCCCATTTTTCTTTTTTGCAGCATAACGTTAAAGCAGAAAAACGTTTGGACTAGGATTCCAATGGCTGCGTGTTTTTGTTGATGTGCACCAAGTCTTTTCTGCCAATTCTTCTCACTGCAGTTGTGTGTACTACTGCCAAAGCCAGACCTGGGGGTCAGACCAGAGCAGGGTACAATGAGAGGGGATCTGTCCATGAAGGAACTTGGCACCTTCAGACATACACAGGGGGAAATCCTTCCCATCCATGTGGAAAGGATTTTGAATATACAATTCTGGATATACTGTGATACACCTCAAATATATCAGTAGTTAGTATAGACGGGGGCATGAAAATATAGGGAAATCAATGTATGTATTTAATGGGGATTTTGTGGGATTCCAACAATGAATGACATTGCAGAAAGTATCTATGGCTGGTAAGTATTATCTTCTAGAAATTGTAGATTTTTAGTATAGTGATCATATGTACCATGCTTGTGAAGTTTATATATGATTATATACAAGATTATATGCAGTAATGAATGCTGTAGAAAAGCACAATAAAGAATACAAAATATCCCAAGAGACAGCAAACAAACCCACATGAAAAATCATACTCCATGCCAAAAAACCTAACATACTTGGAAAGTAGATGTCTGCTCTCTAAAGGTGGGCAGAGGATGCTTTCCGACATACAATGCCCCTTGAAGCTCCAATCCCATGGAGGACTTGTACCTGCATTGCTACCCTCTTTCTTGGGTTAGGCTCCATTGAACTCAATAGGACTTCTTTGTGAGTAGACATGTATAAGATGGCACTGTGTGTATTTGAGCTGGCTCTCAGTTATATCAGCTAGGCACCTACAAGGTTGCCTTATACTGAATGAACCCATTGGTCCAATTGGCCTAGCATTTCCTGTACTGACCAGGAGCAGGTCTTTAGGGTTTCAGACAGGCGTTTTCTCCAGCCTTACCTGCACATGTCAGGCATTGAACTTGGGACCTTCTGCATACCAAGCATGTTAGAGTATGTTTGTGTTATAAGCATTATCTGGCTTTACTGACTGGGGAATGGTGGGAACCGTAGAACTTTTTCCTGTCTAAACATCCTTAGGATTGCCCTCTAGCTATGTTATTTTATTGAGCATGACAGTGATAGAGCGAACACAGGAGGAAATCTCATTTCTAGCCTTTGGGTGCTAAATGAAGGAATGCCATTAGCACACGTACATATTGTTATTAATTGCAATGAATATGCTTTTGTTTATGTGTCAGAGAGAAGCTGTTCCAGCCAAAGGACATTATTATTATATTATTATTATAACATTTCTATGCCGCCCCTTGCCGAAACCTCGGGGCTTATATTATGGCTATAAGAAACAAAACTGGATGGGAAAACTTAAAAGGAGGGTGATGCACAGGCTGAAATCTCTGGTGGGCCACAATTCCCATTGGTCCTAGTTAGCATAGGCAGTGCCAAAGAATGATGGGAGTTGTAGACCAAGATGTGTGGAGGAACAAAAGCTCTGTACTCCTGCTATAATGGCCTGCACAGTATCAGGTAAAATCACAGAATGTTAGAATGGAATCAAATGTATTCCAGAACATTCTGCTTAACAGACATGGAACATGTTAAAGCAATCGGTATAACACAATGCTCAGGTAAGATCTCCTTGCAGATTCCGTAGTATGAGCTAATTGGGGTATGTTGCTAGAATTATCCTGAAACTCATGTCTCAAATATCTTCTGATTATTGAGCAACTTTCTGCTAGTTATTTCCCTTTGATAAAGGCACTCTGATTCTTCAACAGATACCCAAAGTCTTCATCTTTTTCATGAGAGTTCATTTCCCAAGAGCAGATTCTTCAAAGAAATCCTTCGTTAGACAATGGGTCTTGTCATATGATGAAGACTGAGAATTCAGTTGTTCAAATACTTTCAGGGAAAAGAGCTGCTCCTGTGGGCATGTCTTATGAAATGACTGAGGGATTTTTTTTAATGCAGAATAGAAAGATCAGAATATCTGGTAGCTTCCCATTTAATGCAGAATGGAAAGAGCTCTGGACTGAATAGAAAACCTATATGGCAACATTGTCATATGTTTACATCTTGAATGGCATTTGTCATTGATTCAAGGAATTTGACTATTATTTGAAAACTTTGTTTTGCTTTGTTTTCGTTTTATATTTAAGTAAGTGCATGGATTTATGTTGGTACTGTTGGCAGTTGGACCACACACACATGGAGGTGGGGGTGGAGAGAATGAGAGAGAGATTAGTAACGTAAATCTCTTTGTATCATTAATTTCTTATTATGTGTATGAGATACACGATGCAGAATGGGATTACTCTCAGCAACACTGTACTCTGAATTCTGGGATGTTTTTCTTATCTTCTTATCTGTTCTGTTTTATTTTCAAGGTAACCAGCAGTTGATTTCGTAAATTTTGATTTAACAGAAAGGAAGGATCCCTGATTGTTGATCCCTGTAAATTATGAAACACTTAGAATGATCAGTTTCAAACACCCACGTCTTCCCTGTTTTGTCTCCACTGCTCAGACTAGCCTCTGTATCCCCAGCTGTCTTAATTCCTGTCTTAGATTTAAAAAAAAAACCCATTAATCAACTTACTGAGATGCTTTCTCCTCACTGCCCCTGCCCCTCCTAGTAAACATTCTAATTAGGCTCAACATGGGCAATATACAGACCATAGTATGATGCCACTTGCCAAATTTAACCATTCAGTCTGCCCGCCCACCCACCCACCTGCCTGCAAGAGACATGCTTTCTGATCTTGGCAATTTCTGTTACAAAAACAATAGTGATATTTCTATAGAGCAGGGACTCGTCTATCACAGCTGCTTTTGGGCAGCTTGTGGGTCTTGTTTGAATTATGTCAATCCCATATTTTTCATTACGTTTAGCCATGCTTAGTCTGTTGTGACAAAACCAACTAAGAATCTTGTGATACCTGAAGGGTGTAATCCTGTGTGTGTTTGACAGACAGAAAGCCCTACAAAAATGCAGAAATTCCATGCATTCCCTAGCCAGCCACACTGGGACTGGTAGGGCTTGTTTCCTTTTAAACATGCTTAAGATCGCACCCTAAATCTATTAGTTTTTTAAGCACTGTTAGTTCCTTTGAAGTGCTGGCATTTCTTGTGTCTCCTGTTTCCCGGCATAGCCATCTTAGTTCTTTTTTAAGGTTGATCCCTTGTTGACTGTGGCCCTCCGTGTTGCTTTCTCGCACAGTTTACCTGCCAAGCTGATCAATGGAGGAATAGCTGGGCTGATTGGCGTCACCTGCGTATTTCCTATTGACCTGGCAAAAACTCGCCTACAGAATCAGCAGAATGGCCAGAGGATGTACACCAGCATGTAAGTATCCTGGAGTCCATAATACATGGAGGCTTAAAGATTGGCTCAAGGCCAGTCAGTATTATCTATAGAGCCCTGGAGATTTGAACGTTGGATACCCATGCTGGATCACAGCGGCTCGCATTATAATTCTTTCTGCTGGGGCTCTCATTGATTAATGGCATATATTTGCATCACCTGGGTCCTTATGCAAGGTTTCTCTGGTGCTCAGAGGAGGACAGTGTGGTGTCAGGAAATAGGCTGCTTGCCACTTTGACAACTGGCTGCAAGCTGCCCCTGCTGCCAGCCTTTCCAGCAATCTTCCCTGGCCCCAGCTGAACACATCAGTGCAACAGGAACTCAGCTTGCCCTCGGCAATCAAGCAGCCTCCAGGGGCACATAGGCAGGCCCACTGCTGGGTGATGGGAGGTGGCTGGCAGGCTCTGGCAGGAGTGTCCCCAAAGAGGGCACCCCATTGTGGTTTGCGTCTTCAGGGTGCTGTGGGGGTAAGGGTGCCTTTTCTTTTTCCATCACGTGCCCAGGGGTTTGTGCCTGCTAAGCATGTACATGGCAGTATATGCCTGGGAATGATCCCGGGAGGAATGGTATGGGGCCAGGTGGGGGACTGTGAGGGTCCCAGGCAGTGCAGTGATTGGAAGAGGAAGAGACGGTGCTGGGAGGAGAACTAGCTAGATGAGAGGAACTCAGCCCAGACAGCAATGGCTGCACCATGTTCCAGTCTTCCGTCTGCCGACAGGTTTGATGGTTCTATGTCAGCTGCCCTTGGGTCTCCAGATGCTGCTTTTAAGTGTCAGATTGGTGCAGGATACTACCTCCCCTGTCTGCAGCTTAATGGGAGATGAGGTGGTTGATCTGGCATGTACAATTGAGACCTGGGTGGGTGAAATGGGAGGAGCTGGTCTCTTGATTCAGCAAGAGGTACTCTTGAGGGCCAGGATGGAGTGTCACCAACTCTGAGAGTGAGTCTGTCTGTCTGTCTGTCCATCCAGGCAACCTAGTGCTTGCACCTTATGTTGAGACAGACTGAGGATTCTGCTGGTGTGCCATCCATGCTATCCTTCTGGAGCAACTTGCTGATTTGGGAGGGGGGATACTGTGTTTTAATGGTTTTGCTCCTACGTGGAGGGCTATTTCCAGAAGGTGCTGCTTGGGGAATATTGTGCAATCCTGTGGATTCTCCAGTATGGAATTCCTTGGGGTCTGTTCTGTCCCCCATCCTGTTTAGCACTGACATGAAACCTCTGAGTGGAATGCTCAAGAGTTTTGGAGTGTGTTGCCATCAGTAGGCTGATGACATGCAGCTCTATTTCTCCTTTTCATTGTCAGCAGATGAGACTGTGGATGTGCTAAGTAGGTGCATGGCTGTGCCAGTGGGCTGGATGAGTGCTAACAAACTGAAGCTCAGTCCAGGCAAGACTGAGATGCTGTTTGTGGCTGGTCCCTCTGACTGATGGAGGGTGTTCAGCCTGTTCTGGATGGGATTTGACTCCCGTGGAAGAGCAGGTTCATAGCTTGGGGGTTCTCCTTGATCTGTCTGCATCACATGAGGTTCAGGTTGCCTCAGTGGCTTCAAGTGGCTTCTGCCAGCTTTGGCTGGTGGCCCAGCTATGTCCCTATCTGGAAATGGATAGCCTGACTTCAGTAACCTATCCTCTGGTAATCTCCAAATTAGATTACTGCAGTATACTTGATACAGGGTTGCCCTTGCAGAGGGTTCAGAACCTGCGACTTGTGCGGAATGTGACAGTGGGATTAAGAACTGGTTCTCATAAGTCTGAATGTATAAAGCTAGTTCTGCTCTACTGTGCACTGGCTGCCAGGATGCTTGTGAGCCTAGTTCAAGGTACTGATTTCAATTTATAATCTTTATACGGCTTGGAACCACCATACTTGATGGAGCACCTCTCCCAGCCATCGTCCACACAGGCTGTACGCTCAGCATCCGGGGTCCTCCTCCAAGTGCCAATCCTGAGGAACATAGGAGGACGGCAACAAGAGCAGGGGCTTTCTCTGGGGTGGCCTCCATCTATGGAATGACTTCCCTACGGAGGTTCACCTAGTACCAACCTCGTCATTTTTTTGGTGCCAGGTTAAAACAGCCCTTCGTATTAAGACCTTATCTTTACTTGGATATCCAACGACTTGAGACACTACCCATCCCAGGTATTTTTATAGGGGTACTCGTCCTTGTATTTTTTAGCTGTTTTTAATTTTTCATTTTAAAATGTTTTGTATTTTGGTAAGATTTTAACAGTATTTTATTGCATTGCTTTTATGAACTTTTATAAGCTGCACAGAGAGCTTTGCTGTATAGTAATGACATCATAATAATTTTATCCCATGCTAGCATTGACTAATTGATGTAGCATTTGCTGACGCAGCAGTTTTCCGAGGAAATGCATCGCACCAAGACATATTATCTTAGTGAATTGTGTTACAGGTTGCGTATGCTAGTGCAGTGCAATTTATATTAGCAGAAGTGTCGCTTTAGATACCAGACATAGTCTTGAGGTTTCAAGTCTAAACCGATGCAGTATCCTTCCTATGGTTTTTCACTTCATTTCATATCAGCCCCAGCTGAAGCGACCACTGTTCAAGAATGGTGGAAGGCATCGAATTGAGGCATCTACTGTACAAGGCAAGCCCCAGTCAAAGAGCTTTAAGGGTCAAAATGTACAAAGCCAATTATTTCTGTAGGACAAGAAAACTGTTGGCTTCTCTGTGTGCATTTTAATTAGCCAGAGATATCTCCCAAAGGGGCTTTTGATTTTCTCGTGAAAGGCAATATATTTTTGAGAGAGAGGTTCTGTTATTCTTTGCTGCACCTGAACTTTATTCCTCCTTTCTCTCTTATAAGGCTTACATAAAACACTCAGTTTCATATAACGGTTTTTAAAAGGCTGAGGGAACTTTCAAAAGGAGATATTCTTTTGCAGAAAAGCATAAAAAAGGAAAGTGTCTGATCTCTGACTGCCTTTCTAATAAAGGCTGCCAAAGTGCGAACTGCCTGCTTTTCACTTCTGCGAAAAGATGACTAATGCAGGAAACAGGATTTCTGACTGAGCGATCTGGCTCCACTAAAGCATTCCTTTTAATGACCTTTGGTGCAATTTAGATCTGTGGAATGTTTTCTTCTCCCTGGCCACTGCTCCTCCAGAAGAGTTCAGTCCTTAATTAGGGGTCCAAAACTGGCCTATACAATGGGATTTGGGTGCCTACTGCTACTGATGGCCCTCTCCTTTTCTTTCCTCTCTATTCATCTTTTTAACAGGTCTGACTGCCTCATCAAGACAATCCGGTCTGAAGGCTACTTTGGCATGTACAGAGGTCAGTGATAAGCTGCGTTATCGATCCCAATAAGAGGAGGAGGAAAAAAGTTGTTGCATCTGCATTTGGGTTGCCAACATTTAGTTCTGCTGGACTGTCTGTGCCTTCCTTTCCATGCAAGCAGAAATTCAGCAAGCGAAACTTTACTCTGTTTAGAGAGGCAGTGATGGAATAAACTTTATTAGTGTGGTTTCTGCTTACCAGGTAGCTACTGGTGATGCAGCCAGGGGGAAAATGGCAATCCTGGTCTGATTCTGCAAATGTGAACCAAAGATCAGCAGATTTCATCCTTGTTCATGAAGTGCAGTTCAACATTTTTCCAAAGACTATGAGGTTAATTTGACATTTGGATAAGCAGGAGTAATTTTTGAATACATTTTAAAGGTAGGATGACATGGTGGTTGCTGAGTTTTGATAAACAAGACTGGTATAATATGATCTGATTTATTAAAGGTGTGATCCTTAAAAAAGATTTCTATTATTAGTGCATCAAAAAAACTGGAGGTGATAGGTATAATCTTGGAAGAACCATTTGTTTTGCTCTCCTACGCAGGAAAAAAAAATCTTCAGAGATGGTGCTGGTGATACATACACACTTAATTCAACAAATCCTAATCTTTTACCCTTCAGAAATACTGCCCTTATTCAATTTTAGATGGATTTAGTAATAGATTTAATTTACTTAATCAGTTAAAACTGATACATCAGATCAACTAGATTTTCTTTTATCAGGAAATGCAGTCAGGTAATATTGAGCTGGAAGTAAATATGATTAGACTTGTTGAAATGGAAATAAGGAGAAAAATGTGGAAGAAATGGGTGATACCAATCACAGCATCTCTTTCAGGATTCTCTTTTTGAAGATCTTAACTCCAGTGTCGTCTAGGATATTTTTTCCTCACTGCAAAGATTTGGGGCAGATTTGTAGGCATTGGGGTATTGCTATAGAAGCATATCTGATATAATACTGAACTATTTTATTTGAATAGGAGAATACACATGGCAATTTCTCATTCATATGATTATAATGTGTGTGTGTGTGTGTGCGTGTGTGTATTTCAGTTCAAAATGCATGGGGCTTTTCCTCTCGCCTTCTCTTACTGGGGTTATTATTGGATTAGTTAACATACTTAGATTTTGGGTTTTGCTTTGAATAAGAGAAGTTTTCATATAGAGCCAAATTCAACTGAGTCTGGATGGGAAAAAGCCATCCCTTCAAAAGCAAATATTTCCCTAGCATGAGATTGTCTGGAATAAAGTTTTACTGTGAAGAATTTTGGTTTGGGTTTACTAAGTCACATTTTTGAATTCAAAATAACTTTATAGCTCAAACTGGTTTGCTATTCTGGATATGCATATAGGGTGGGAGAAAAATCAAGCCCTTGCCAAGATGGAAGTGTCTGATCTACAGAACAATCTTACAGTCCTGAGGAAAGTCCCACAAATTGTGTGATTCCTTAGAGTCCCCTCTCCAAGGCAGTAGACAAAGCTACGGCCTTAGAAGGGGACTGTGGAATCAGATCCCACCCACACCCCCTTGTACCCACTGTTGGAAGAACTGTATTGATGGCTTTCTGAGATCACAAGAGTGGTCTTGGAAGACCTTGGAAAGGCCTGAGAGGGGGCAAAGAGGAGAAGGGCCCAGGCCCATTGCCAGCAGCATAACTAGTCTAGGTGGTCTCAGGACCTCTCTAGAGGAAAATGTATGAGCAGGCCAGCAAAGAAGTGAGAACAGCCTCAACTGCTTCTCTTGTCCTGTTGGCAGTAGCCTGGCAGGGCACTGGATATCAGAAGCATCCGAGTTTGGAGGCTTCCATCTTACGAGAGCACAACCCATAGGATTGCATCCTTTGTTGTTACATTTGTTACTCTTCTAGTACTTGCAGTTTTGTACTGTCTGGTCTCCCACATAACATACATGCCATTGGCTGAGGTTAATTCTTGATGTTAAGGCTACTGCCTTTTTCCCCCTAATAGGGTCTTATGCCTTTAATAGCTGGCTGAGAAATTGAAATCCAGCAGCGGAAGCTTCTCCCACGCTGTTATCTTGCCATGCTGCTATTATACGCAGGAAAACTCTCTTGCAGGTGCAGGGTGTGTGTGTGTATGTGTTCAATTTGTGCTGAGGAAAAGGAAGCATCTATCAAATTAGACAGTCTACCTATTCAATTATGCCTGTTCATTCATTATATTTCTGCCAGGTGCCAAGTGAGCCTCTCTGGGAAATTCATTCCACAACCGTAGCAGAAGTGACCCTCTTCTTACATAGGCACTCCCAGCCGCCCTTTGGCAGGGGGTCTGGAGAAGGGCTGATGAGGATGATCTTTAGGGTCTGGGCAGGTATATTTGGGAAGTGATTATTATTCTTCAGGTAACTTGGCCCCAAGCCACTTAGAGCTTTGCACATTCACCCCATTACTTTGAATCGAGCCCATCACTGCAGATGGTGAAGTACTTGCTTACTGTGATTACATTGGCCAGTCCCTGTTAGCCAGTCTCACTAGCCTGTCTTGGACCAGTTGACGTTTTCTGACTGTTTTTAAGGGTAGCCCCACATATAAAGCATTGCAGCAATCCATCTGGGTGACTCCTCAAATGTGGAAACTGTAGATAAGCTATCCTTGTCCAAATGAGGATGTTGTTGGTTTGTCAGCCTACACTAGTAAAAGATGCTCCATATGACCATGCCCACCTGGGCTTCTAGTGAAAATGTTGGATCCAAGAGCAAACCATGAGCCAGATCCTTTAGGGGGAGTACAACCCCTTCCACAACAGGTTGAATAGGCACAAGAATCAGAGGTAACAGTGCCTCTGTCTTGCCTGGACTGAATCTCAGCTTATTGGCCATCATCCAGTTCATTTCCATGCTCAGGCTGTACAATTTGTCAGTCTTGGCACAGTAGCATTTTATTGTATGGGGTCAGAGATCAGAGGCACATAGTTTGAGTTCAAGCAGCTGTAAACCTTGAAATTATTCATGTGTTTAGAAGGGTGTGTTGCTACAACTGCGATCACATTCATTGTATAGTAGTATAGAACTGCAAGAGTGTGCAAATATTTTATCTGTTTCTAAGATTAATTTATACAGCACACAATGACTGTACCTTTTGGGCAGTATAGATAAAGTGTACTCTGTACTCTTTAAGAATTTCCTTTTAGTTACCTGATTACACAAGTTCAGGATCTAGTCCAGTGATTGCTGAAGCTCGCTGCTCCTAAAGGAGCTGCGTCCTATCAGCTCTGTCCTAAGTTTCCCAGGAAACAGAAATAGTTTGTGGCAGTGGGAATACTTGTTCGACTGCTCGGGTCAAACTGCGTTTGCTGCCCATGCACTAATGAGGGCAACAAGCCAATGCGCACGGCGAGGATGCTACGTTTGAACTGGGCTGGCTGGGCGCTTGTGTGGAGGGCAGGGCCTGCAGCAGACGGCCAAAAGCACTCAGGCAAAATGCCACTCTCCATCCTGGCAAATCAGTTGGAACACAAGCCGTGTGTTTGGATTTTACTGGTCGCCAAATTCATCGTTGGCTGTGCTGAGGACCAGGCCAAGACTAGACATGGGTGGATGCCCTGCCAATAAGAGCTGACTGGCTGGAGCCCCCTGGACTTGCTCCATGGACCTGGGCCTCTTCTTGCTCCACTGTGGTAGCCTGCTTGTTCACCTCGATCTCTCCCAAGCCCTGAGAACCGGTGATGAAATGGGGCAGCAGGAGATGCCACTGCCTTCCTGCTTTTGGCCCTCTGCCTGTCAAGAAAGCACATGGTAGTAATGCTGAGAAAGAGAGTGAGGAGCAAAGCAGCCGGTGATCGTGGTGGTGAAAAGGAGGCACTTACTGTGGGTTGTCTTGCCCAAGGGCTCTCAAAAACCTGGAACCAACACTGGCTGGGCAGTGTTTCTCCTTTTCAGAAATAGGAGACTAGAAAACTGAAAACTTTGCTGCTTGTCTGGAGTGGCTTGATTTCTTTTCCAGCTTGTTACGCATCCCAGAACAATTCCCAGAAGGCTGCTCAGACCCCTTCAGGCAAACAGTTCAGATCGGCCCTTGGATGGCAGAGGAATGAAACCTCCTTCCTCCCTGTGCCAAGTGAGCATGTCCACACCGAGCATTTGCCAAGCCGTCTCCACAGCTCAGGACTGCTCGGTGCAGCCCATGCAAGGCAGGCGGCCTTCTTGCTAAGAATACCCTCCTCAGTATCCCAAGCTGATGAGAACATAATGAGGCTTTATTCAACTTCAGTGCAAGATTATTTCTTCCCTCTCTTGCTACTGTGTCAATGCTCTGATTGTGTCACACAGCAGCTTTCAAAACACCGATGCTCATCATCTTTACAGCAAACTGGGCATTGGTTTTTCTGGAGCTTCTTTTCTTTTCCTCTGATAAATAGAAATAGGTGCACAAATTTGTATCCCACCCCTACCAAATAGGAAGTTACAGAAATGTACCTGAATGTATTTATTTTTAATCTGGTAACAAAACCATTTGGAAATGGATTATCAATGTGAATGCCTATTCTTTGAACATACTGCATGTAAAAGTGACCAGCAGAGTTTTCCCAGTGCTGACCCATGATCGCTAATAGAAAACAATACAAAGTATGATCTTATAATACTGCTTTGCATGTCAATCCTGTTTAATAAAATATTTTCAATGCACAGTTTTGAGAATTTTACGAAATGGGAAAGAACCAGATAAAGTGTTTAGTAGAGCAACAAAGCAACCGTGTCGTTCTTCTTGATTGTATATCTAATCTGTCAAAGGTTTATGGAGCCTTTTGTAAAACCTTGTAAAGTGTCTGTTTTATAGTGACCATTTGTTCTGCTTCCTAGTCCTTTGTCAGCATCTGCAGCCTTTGTAGCTTTATTTATGTTCTTTCCTACGTTTGAGCTGCTAGTAAAACAGATAACCATGGAGTGTCAACATCAGGCACTGTATGCCAAGTATCCTATTTTGGAGACTAAAATAGTGGGAGACTGGAAGTCAGTGGGAGTCTGTTTATTTTCCTCTGGTGACTTTCCGTCATTGTGGGTCACTAAGGACACAGATTAATTTTCCCTTCGTCAAGCGGCTTTACTGAAAATATCAAAGCTTTAGGAGAAAAGCATAGATCAACTTTTTGGATGTACATTTTCTCTGTCCCTTATTTGAGCTACAAATATGTTAACCTAGAAGCTTTCGCATTAGATTGAGATCTTATACGTGCACACAAACACACACCCTCATGCTGGGTGAGTCATCTGAAAGGGCTTAACTGGGAGATACAGTGCACAAGCAGAGATCATAACAAGCTTGGATATAAGTAAACTAGATAATGAAAAGGAATGATTTAACACATTACACACCATTTTGTATTACTGAAGTGGTGGTTGAAAGAATAATGGGTTGTACCCAATGCTTGGCATGCGGTGGCGTAGTGGGTTAAACCGCTGAGCCACTCGGCTGGTTGATCGGACGGTTGACAGTTCGAATCCACAGACGGGGTGAGCTCCCGTACTCTGTCTCAGCTCCTACCAGCCTTCCAGTTCGAAAGCATACAAATGCAAGTAGATAAAAAGGTACCACTTTGGTGGGAAGGTAACAGCGTTCCATGCACTTCAGTGTTTAGTCATGTTGGCCATATGACCACGGAAACTGTGGACAAACACTGACTCCCTCGGCCAGGAAACAGAGATGAGCACCACCCCGCAAGAGTCAGACATGATCTTTAATGTCATGGGGAAACCTTTACCCAATGCTACTCCAGCTTACAGTAGACCAATTTAAATGAATGGGACAGAAATTACAGTAATGTTGGATGCAACTTGCTGTTGTGGGCTTTCAGGATTGTGGGAAGGAGCAGGTGTGACTTATCCATCTTCCATAGCTATTCTCATTTTGGATGGATTTCCTAATGGATTTGCATTGGTTCCTCCTGTTACTGTGTCCTCCAGTAATGCCAGTAAGCCTATAGTGTGGATGTTTGATATTTCCACAGGTTGACCCTCTTGCCCTGTCTCCAGCCTTCTATTACTGATAATAATTTCTGGAATAATTGGAAATAGATAGTAAAACTTACTTTACTATCCTTGCTACATTCTCTTTCACAATGGCCCTTTCAGGCTAAAACCACAAAGAGTCTTGTGGCAGCTTAAGGAGTAACACATTTTTCTGGCATAAGCTTTCATGGATACTGTCCATCTGGATGGGCAGGGACAACAAAAGCCCAAAGACAGAATCAATCTTACAGTCCTTAAGGTGCCACAGGACTGTCATTTTCTGCAAAAGACTCACACAGCTATTCCTCTGAAGATCACTACAGTGAAAGGCAGTGTTGAGTTGATTACTAGTATTCCTGCCTCACATAAACATTGGGATTGATAGTGACTGGTAGTGCATTGTGGGGCCTAGATCCCACTTAACCCTTTGGTACGGCTTCTTCCACATATTGCAACCAAGCCTCATTCGTATCCAGTTCTTTACACATTCTACTGGTAAGCAAGAAGCTGAAAGGATGAAAGAGGGGTTGAAGGCCTCTGTCAAGATTAAAAGCTTGTGACTGAAATGAAAAAAAAAGTGTGACACAGCCTTGCTACCACAGGGCTAAAAGGTCAATCACCAATGCAACCACCATTATTTTGGGTAGAAATGATTGGGTCTCACCAATGAGTGCTGCCATAGCATGACCATTGTTTACAGCAGGTCCCTGGAATTGGTGTGCCTTTCTTCTTAGAAGTTTAAGGTGTCTGCTTAAGTTCTGCGTAGCCACTGTGAATATATCATCACATCAAGCCCATCAGGTCTTTCCTGGTGTCCTTACATGCTGTTCTCCTTGTTTCTTGACCAGGGGCTGCAGTGAATCTGACATTAGTGACTCCAGAAAAAGCAATCAAGCTAGCTGCCAATGATTTCTTCCGATATCATCTTGCCAAAGATGGGTGAGTCGAGCAGAGAGCACTTTGCATAATGCTTCGAGCAGGGATGCCAAGATTTATGCTGGGTATGTCAGTATTACTCTGTTGTTTCAAATCTGCTGCGGTGCATATTATGCGTTGCCATTTACGCAAATATAATTTTCAGCAGTTGAAATCAATGGGTACCACTGAATTATCCCACCTATAGAACACATTATTTTTCTACATTCAGCGGGGAGACATGCTTTGCAACTTTTCATTCCTTATGGGCTAAGTTGTCCCTACTTGGTGGAAGCCAATGGTCATGATTGTCGCTTCACTGTCCTGGCCAGGAAAGAATACTGGTCATCTTGGTCCTCTAAAAAGAAAGTAGTTGTCTGGACAGGCTGCTTTGTTCAATTTACAGGTCATGGCATTGTAGCACATCCAGTTCATGTATTGTATGGACAATTCATGTGTTGTTCCCCTTCCAAGGGAGAATAGGGTGGTGTCCAAATTTAAAGCCCTTTAGAAATAACTGCGAAGGAAATGATTCACGTGTGCTACCACTGTTATCAGAGGTGGTACGCCTGCGTAAACCAGTTGCTGAGTTGCTCATGCAGGAGAACACTTCTACCCATCTCGTTTGGAGGATCCTGGGCACAGTGGGTTTGCCACCCTGTGAATGGAGCGCTGAAATGGATGGACCATTGGTCTGATCCAGAATGACTTTTCTTATGTTCACCCAAATCCAGCTGAAGCTCGATTTCATGCAGGTTCTCCTTTTTCTGCCAGACTCATTCCATCCCAATTCCACACCGGATTGCAAATTTGTTTTAATCTGTATAAAAGGTATATACGGTTTGGACCGTTTTTTAAACCCATATTTCTGCCCAAATATCTTCATCTTTTTGCAAATGGATGCATTTCCTCAATTGAATAGAGTGTTTTCTGTCTTCAAAATGAAACCACTTTTTGGTGTGAGCTGCATCACAGACTTTGGAAATGTATGGATTGGGTCAGCAAATGATACACTGCTTTGTGCTTAGGTTTGGGAAGTTACAAATGGCAGGTTCCCTTCTGAGGGGAATAGCAACTCTGGGGATGGAGTGATTTTTTTTTCATGGGATTAAAAAGCTATTCCCACTCTTCCCACATGCCATAATCTTGATTGGTGTCGTGTCCCCCGCACTGCTGTTATTTTTAGATACATTAAATACAAGCAGGTCTGGCCCTTGGTTGAACCTAATAAATGTGTTACCTGCTATTTTTGGCTTATCAAGGAGAGGCACCGAACAACAGAGGCATGTATCTTTCTCTCCAGGAGCTTAGATTTCAGAGATCCTTTATATAGCATAGAGTAGATGTGTCATTCTGCACGTTTGATCAAGATGATGCATGAGAATTGAAAGTGAAAGTCATACTCCTAGAGGACAGTTTCCTAGCTTCTAGAAATAGCCTATTATCTCAGCCAAGGTTACTTTGCCACCATAATTTCCATGGGAAAGTATCCAAAAAGGAATGCAGTACCTGTGATTATTCTAATCAATGCAGAGCAGTCCTTCCTTCCAGTCACTAAGCAGAGCTACTGAAACATTCCAAGCTTAACGCTAACAAATAGGGGTGAAATGACTTGAATGTTTTACTTCAAAATGTCATAGTCAAGATAGGCTTGTGCAGAGAAATGCCAACTTCATCTAGGGGTATTTGCAAGTTTTATGGAAATTTGTACAATTTCCTGCAGAGCTCCTACAGATATTTCTCCCAAGGCAAAATTCACTTCAAATTTGGCTTTATGCAGAATTCAGATCTGGGAATTCTGGTCTGGGAGACTGACTGATCATGTGATGCCTTTTCTTAAAAACTGAAATGCAACAGTGGGAATGGCTGTGCATCAGATCTCATTAGGATGAGGAGGATGTGGTTAACCCTTTCCACTCAAGCTGTTTGGTTAACCAGCAATCCCAAGCCACTTTCTTACCTACAGGGCAAAAGACCTGGATAGCTTGTATCATGGTCCCCATCACTGAAGAATCTGCAAAGGCTAGTCTTGATGGGAAAAATAGTACTGGGGAAAGGTTAAGCATGTGTACATTGTAATCCCTTTAGAGATGCACCTTCGGTATGACATTCCCTAGAACCAAGAAAGTAAAGACTTAGAAAAGGGGATAAGGAAGAGCTTGAGATTAGAAGAACTGTTTTAGAAATAAAGACATTAAATGACTCAGTGTCTAAAGAAATTGCTTGTTCGACAGTCTTTAGAAGAGACAAAACAGCATATAAACTTCCTCTCACACACATGCCTGCATGCCATGTCTCCGATCAGCTCTGTCTCATAATCACTGCAGACCACCACAACTTTTTAAAAACCACAGTGGGTTGCAGTGAATGCCAGGGGCCATTTCAATATTTGGCCCCTGGCTGTGGGTTGCTGTCTCGGCTGAACCTTATTGCAACAAAGAAAAAACTTTAGGGGAACAGGCATGGAAGTCTAAATGATGACCATCATATATATGGAGGCACTGAAAAGATCAGTGCAGTTCCACTGTTCATTCTGATGTGTTTTGACCTGCCTTGAAACTCTGTACTTGTGGTGATCAGGTAGAAGAATTTCAGCAGAGGATTGTTTTCCCCAGGCAGGCTCATAAACAATGCATAACTTAGCTATTTCCTGAGCAGGAGTCACTGAGTTAATTAATGTTGGAACTGTGCATACTTTCCAAACCTTGAAGTCTGCATGCAGTCTTGGTCATGAATCTACATGCTATTGACCCCCTGAACCTTTTACAAGCTCTTGGGTATTGCAGCTGATGTATTTACAGTGAAACGTGACCACTGATGTTGGGCCCATTTGCGAGATGAATGCAAGTTCATTTCTTGGCAAACCTTATTGGTATATTATGGCTGTTAAGTGGCTTGCCTGTAACGGCTGGACCACTTCTGTGGAACTAGTTTACCTGGTACAGACATCTGGCCACAGAGGCTGCTTTGCGGCATCATGGATATATCCGCTTCACAGTGGGGTGGAAATGTAGCACTGCACATTCTCTGTGTACATAGAGTTACAAAGTGCATTAGCATTCAGCCAGTTAATTCTCTCGCTGGTTTTGCAAAGTGACGTGGTTGCAGCGGCAGCAAAAATTCAGCTGCCGTTGTGGTTTGAATTTTAATATTTTGATTAAGCATTACAGTTTACAAGTACAACTTGTATGTCTCCACGCATATGTGGCTGCTTTTATCTTGGAACTAGCTGATGCTCATGGAAGGATAGGGGGTGATAAACAAGCACCTAGAGGTACAGTCGTTTATTTTCCCTTTTGGGGGCAAATGGGAATATGGAAAAGGGTTTAAAAGTGTATTCAGGCCTCAGTGGAATAGGACTAAAATTTTTCTCTGCCTCTCAAGTACTCTAGTCACTGACAATCCAGCCTGCTTCTGTCTGCATAGCTTTATCCTAGGTTCTGTTTCTTGGTCACACTAGAGTGAAACAGTGTTTGACTGGTGGGGCAGAACATTGGGATCTTGCCCTTACATACTACAGATGGAAGATTCAACCAAATGTTGCTTTTGTTAAGAGCCTCAGCCAACCTGAAAGAGGAGCCCTCCCGGTGCATAGCAGGTTGAGGACAGACGGAAGGAGGAAGTATTTTTGTTTCCCACCTTCTGAAACCTTCCTTACTGTTTTGTGTAGCATTGAAAGGTTCAAGTTTTGGACTGAAACCCCAAACTTAGTGCTAAACAAATGGGAGATTTCTGGATAGTGAAAGAAAGAAAAAGGACTGTTTTATTTCCTTTCTTCGCTACTGAAACCTCCCTGTATAATTCATGTTTTTAGCTTTTGAACCTCAGAGTGTGCATTCTTGCAATTCAAAATATTATGCATGTAGCTCAGGCAGACATATTCTGCTCTGTCCCCTTCATTTCTTTTTCCTATTCAGTATCCTCAACATTATGTAGGCCCTGAAAACAGCTATGAAGGGATTGGACTGCTTGGAGAATTTTTTTCTATGTTCTTTTCCCTTTAACTAATTGCATCCTCTGAGTATGCAGAAACTACAACCTTAGTTTTTGGTGGTTTTGTTTCAATACAAAATTGACATGTATTCCAACATTTGGCACTAGTAGGAGTTATAATAGAGCAGATGGATGATTGTGAAGTTGTACCTTGTGAATATTTCAAAATGCCAAAAACCATAACTCGCTCACATGGAATAAACTGTACAAGAATTCATAGGGATAGTTATATGTGGTTTAAGGTTGTTGACTGACTGTGGTATAACCTAGTTCGGATGAACGATGGCACAGTTTACTGTACATAATGACTTGATTCACAAGTACTGAGAAGCCAAGGGTGGGTGAGTTTCCCCATGGGGATTTTGGTTGAGGGAGCTGCCACCACTTGTATATTCAGGGCGCAGCAGAGGCACCTCTTGGTACATGTGAACGCAGTGAGAGTGAATGTTAGGGTAGTTGACAAGCCACTCAAGACCCACAGGATGTTTTCGGGTTGTGGGAGGCTTATCAGCCACCACTACAAGCAATCCTCACCAGGTTCATTTGTAAGGAAAAGTTACAGCCAATTTGGACTATGCCCTGTATACTCAAAATAGTACCCCCTGCCAGAACAAGAAGCCCCATGGGAATATTTACCCACAGGGGCTTCTCATTATGTGCAAACAATGTTGGCATGAAATGTAAGACCCGCCCTTTCTTCCATCCCTTGTCTGGGCTTCCTTTCTTAGTTCTTCATGTACTGCAGACACTCTCAATTTCTACAGTGGCGACAAGCTCCTTCCATTCCAAGATGGCTCTGTGAAGAGTATCTGAAGCCCAAGGGGCAGCCTCTTACCATCTAATCCTGACAGGATTGAAGGGAATTCATTTGATTTCAGGAAAGTGCTTAAAAAGATTCAACAATTAGATGTGTGCCTTTAGTGATTTAGGGCATCAGTCCTAAATGCCCTTACAAGGAAGTAAGTAGTCATAGGATTTTGCTGCAGAAAACTTGGTTGCAAAGAAGCCTGCTTTCAAGGCTTTGAACATAA